TGGCCAAACCTTCAAGAATGTGTGATTTTCTGGAGGCTGTGTGATGAACAAAGGGGGTGATGGAGACTTTCTTCTTTGAGTCTCCTTGGCAGTGCCTGTAAACGTTCCATCCAGACCTTTCAGGGAGAGGGTGGGTTATGCCTGTGGGACTTTTTTGCACCAAGTTGTCCTCTCTGCTTGTTTTTGGACAGCTCAAACAAAACATTGATGACCCCCAAACCAAATACCTAAATGAAGCAATGAAATTTGATCTCTGTAACGCTAATGGGAATATTCCATGACAACATCTACCATATCAACTCTACCTTCTGTGTCTGTCTTCTGGCAGGACCGTCCATCCCAGAGGCACCAGATTGATTTTAGTGCAGCTAAGAGAGACCCTCCCTCTTGAGTTGGGGTCTGCAGGCAGTAGCGATGCTACCGCTGAAGCAAGAGGAACAGTTTTGTGATGGAGCTCGTTTATGAGAGCTTCAGCCGCCTTCTCCAGAATGCAGGCTGCTGCTGCTGCGTCCCGGGGCGTGGGGGCTGTCTCGGGGGAGCTGCCCCCCAGTGTTGGCAGCAGATGCCTTGGCTCACTGCTGGGCATCTGCAGAGGAGGTGCAGACAGCGTTTGCTGGAGCTGCGCCGTGGGACTCGCTCACGCGTGGCTAACGTGCCCGGGGAGCCCACGAGGATACATGGGAGGAGGAAGAGGAGGAGGAGGAGGGCTGGCTTCAGCAAGCACACAGCCAGCGGTGTCTCCGGGCCCTTGCAGGGACATGGGCTCTTCCCAAGCTCAGCCGAGCCCCTGCGATCACCTGTGCAGAGGGGGCTGCAGGGATCCCAACATCTGTTATTCCAGCTCCTGTTTGGAAACTGGGCTGGAGAGCAAAGACCAGCCCAGAGCTCCATCTCCCTGCCCCTATTCTGCTTCACATGCCATCTCCTATGTGGGAGAGGACAATGGTATTAAATTAATTTAACACATGGTGTTCAGATTTCCCCTAATTAGAAGGTTTTGCTCAAATTTTAGGAGAGTGTCAGTATTTGTGAGATATCTGCAAGCATAAAGGCAAGAACACCAGCTTAGGCAGCCAACCTCTGAAAAACTGGAAAGGAGAAAAGTCAGAGTGTGTATGTTTGTGTGTGGGGAAAAGGAGTCGTTCTGCTGATCTGGGTTTCCATTTTCTTTCCTCTCCTTCTTCTCCTTGGTCACTGGTGCCTAAGCTGCTTTTTCCAACACAGTCGCTTCCGACGGGCAGTTCCTGATAGATTAAGGAAATTTCCCAGAATTTAATATGTTTAGACTCAAAACCAAGGGAGAGGGAACAACCGAATTGCTCTGAGTACTGAATGATGCCTCCTCTGAGCATTCTCCCAGAAGGCAACTGTGTTTAAAAGGTCCATTTAATTTGCAGCAGGCTTATGCTTTGGAAGACCATTACCCGGCTATTTTGGGGCAGATCAGCACCGAGCACGGCACTCCCCACCCTGCAGAAGTCCCCTTGCTGTGGTGCAAAGACATTTGGCTGCTCCTTGCCATGGCTGTGCATGGGAGGATGCTGCTCCGGTCCTCTGCCCGCGGTTGTCCAGGCGTGATGCTCGGCAGAGCCTCACTTGGCTCACTGTGCAGCTTCCACTTTGGGGCCAAACTTGATGCTCCTGTCTCCTAATGCTGCATCGCTGACCTCTGCGACGCTGCACCTGCTTTGCACTGGGTTGGAGCTGGGCTCTGTATCTACTCTATCCGTCGGACTGGACATAATGGTGTCCTCAGGGCTTTCAAGAAGATGGACAAAGAAGCCATTTCAAAGCAGCTCTGAACTAGGCAGAATACGACGGTGAAGAGGAAGGGTCCGAGATGGGTCTCTCTTCAGGCAGGGAATGCTCCAAATGGCGTTTGGGGGATAATTTTTTTCCCAGCTCTTTGTCCGTGAAGAATGAGGGCTGTGGAGGGAGGCACGCGCCCAGTGTAAATGCCTCAGCTCTATTGTTCCCGTGATTTCCATCGAGCTTATGAACCCCCATATAAAAGACTTACCTTTCACTTGTATGATTAAGAAAAGGCCAATGTAGCTTTCCCGCTCACTGGAGCATGAAGCGTGTTTAATTTAATAATGCTGATAAATCTTAAAGCCAGGAGCATTTGGCGAACACATGACCCACTTTTTCAATCAATTGGAAACATTTACATAACGGCCCAATGCAGGGTTCCTCCTGCCAGGGATGTGGAGCTGGGGGGTGGCAGACACCCGCTGCCATAAGCACTTCCACTGTAGGGTGTTTGGTGAAAGCAAACCGGCAAATTTGCTGGTCCTTAGCAGGCAAGATGTGACCCACCTCCTTGGGACTGTCAGGGCCGGCGAGTCCTCCTCCTGCCACAAGGATGTGCCTGGGTTGAGAGCACCTCAGGCACCCAGCTGGGCTTTGGGGTCCATCAGCCCACTTGTTCTGGTTTTACCCAACACAGCTGCTTGCTCACCCTCCCCGCTCCCCTCTCCCAGTGATGGGGGAGAGAATTAAAGGGGTAAAAGGAAAAGAGACTCGTGGGTTGAGCAGAGAACAATTTAATAACTGATCTACAATAATACTGGAAATAATTATAATAATAGTAATATATACAAATACACAAATGAGTGACACACAGTGACACTGCTCACCACCTGAAGACCAAGGCTCAGCCCATTCCTGGCTAATGATCCCAGAGCAGGCAGAGTCCTGACACTGCAGTCTCGGAACAGAGATAAGAGCCCGAGTGTCTGACAGACTGAGACAACCCTGAGAGAGGGGTGACCTGGAGGTAGACAATCTGGAGCAAGAGAGAGGTAACTTCTGGACAGTTCCTCACCACACTGGCCATGCCGTGCATGATATGGAACAGACCATCGGCCAGTTGGGGTCTCAGTCCTAACCCTGCGGTCCAATCCTGGGCTGGTCACTGGGGCTGTGCTCCCTCCCAGCTCCTCCTGCCCCTGCAGACACGGGCACAGCAGAGAAGCTGGAAAGTCCTTGACTGTCCTGGCAGCAGCTCTGCCCATCAGTGTGTGATCAGCTTCTCCTCAGCACAAACCCAAACAGCCTCACACTGGCTGCTGGGAAGAAAGTTAACTCTGTCCCAGCCCAAACCAGGACAGTGGTGGATGGACATCACCCCACCATTGCCTGTCAGCTCCCACCATGGGCTGGCACCCTGGGCCAGAGCTGCCCGGGCCACTGTGGTTGGGCAACTTGCAAAAGAAAGCTCTTGGGGTGGTGTGCGGGGCAGGATGGGTTTCAAATTCTGCCTCTGCAAGTCATGAAAGCCACTGCCTGAGGATATGCCTTGACCATCGGCCATGAAGAGCCTCTGCCTTCCTCTGTCTCTGCTGGCAGGGAGTGCGTGGAGCTGCACCTTGGCATTGGTGTCATGGCTTTGTTTCTTTCCCTGCAGCTGGGCTTGATTGCTCCTGGGACAGGACATCCCTGGGGATGGCTGTGTCCTGGTGTGGTGGCAGCATGTCTTCTGTGGCAGGACCTTTGTCTCCTGGCACATCACTTCTCTTTCATGTGGAGCACGCAGCAACGCTGGCCTTCACAAATCAGCACGGTCATCCTTTGCAGTGTTGCTTCCCGTGCACAGAAGTCAGCACAGGGTTAACCGACACAGCCGGTTATTTATTTTCCTTTATTGTTTGCCTGCAGTGGTCTTGAAAGAGAAAGATCCAGAGCTCCCATGTCGTGCTATTGTGTGTCAGCCCATTCTGGTTACTCTGGTCCCCAACGTCATCACCTTCTTCTTATGAAATATTCTCCTCCTCCCCATCCTTAACAGTTCCTTTTGGCTTGACATCTTTAACACATTTCATTTCTTACTTGTCTTGTGGGGATTTGACTTCTTTTTTTTTTTCAATTGTAGCATCCAGTGGCCTCAAGAGCAGCATTTGCAAGCAGGTTATAAGCAACCTCATTCCCAGTGAGCCGGTGTCCTGTTAGCTCGGTGGGAACACCATTTCCCTGCTAACCACGTGGGTTTTATCCATTTTGGGTTTCATCATAACCTCTTGGAAGAGGCTCTACATCAAACCCATCTCCCAGCTGTGATTTGTGCATTGCTGTGCGTTTATTCATCCCAACTGCCTCTTTGCGTTAAAGTAGCAGTTGAAAATTGGTTTACCCCCCATTTTTTGGTCACACTGCACGTAGAAGGATGCTCCTCTGAGACAGGACCAGTCTCCTCATGCAGTAGGCTGCAGAGACATTTCATATGCAGAGTCCTCACACAGAGATGCTGCCAAGGAGGTGTCAGGAAAGAAAAGGAAGGATTTGTTGCCGTTCTGTGATTTTTTTTTCATGGGAAGGGAAGGGAACATGACAGCACCAGGAAAACTCACTGAGGTTTTGTTAATTACACACAAAGCGTGAATAGCTGGAAATGGCGTGGTCCTGAGAGGCAGGATGAAAATGCAGACGTGTAGCAATTGGGGCACCAGCTCCATCCTTCCTGCTCTTGCTCCTGGGCTTAGATAGATATATTCCTGGTTACTGAAAAACTGGTTGGTTTTTTTTTCCGAGTGCCCATTCCCACTTGAAACAGTGAATTTTGCTTTGCTAGATAGGTGCCCTGGGTCTTTGAAAGTCCCAGTTCAGTTATCGGTCTTTGGCCAGGCACAGCTGCTTTTTAGGGCACGCAGGTGCGGGCTGTGCAACCTCAGACACTCGAGTCTTTGCTCCCATGATGGCTTTTGCACAAATCCAGTGGCAAAGCCACAGCAGAGCTGCAGGCTCTTCCCGGGCTCAGTCGCTGCCTGCCCAGTCGGCACCCAGGAAGGTGCTCAGCCCACGACATCTCCCCGCAGCTCCTCCAGCTGTGGCTTCCCCACATCCTGCTGCTTTGCGAGGTCCATCTCGCTTCAAGGAACCTGCCTGTTTTGAGAGAAAAAACCTTTCTTCCTCTCTGTCCCCAGGTGATACGGTCGCGGTGCTGTCTCCTGCGCCAGGGCTGCCCTCCCAGCTCACGCCCGTCTCCTGTCCCCTGGTAGGAAATGGAATCTAAGGTCTCCGAAGGTGGCCTGAACGTCACCCTCACCATCCGGCTGCTGATGCACGGCAAGGTAAAGTGCTCCCAGTGACCGAGGTTTCCTTGCAGCTCTTTCTCCCACCTCCACTCTGGCTGTGTACCCAGGTCCAGCCAGTCCCACATGCCACCTCCGCAGCCCCGATGTCCTCCTGTGGGGAGGGTGGCATGGTGGCAGGATGCTCCTGGCCCCTCTCCTTCTGCTGGAGACAGTGTGCACCACATCTTTGCTTCCTTATGGGGTTGGGCTGGATTGTCTTCACGTTTTGTAATGTCGATTCCTTTGTGTTTGGCGCTTTTTTTTTTTTTTTTTTGTAGGAAGTTGGAAGCATCATTGGAAAGGTAAGGGATGTCTTTGCAATGTGTGTTTAATGCTATTGCCTGCACAATTTGCTGCCTGCGGTGTGGTAGCTACCAGTCACCTCTTCCCTGTGATGTCCTTAAATGTTTGGTGCGCGTGAGCTTGTTGCTGCGTTTCTGAGACAGAAATTATGACAGTCCCACAGAAGGATCAAAGACCCTTAAAAAAAACCCAAACAACCAACCAGCAAACTTACCTAGTGCTATTTCCAGCTGCTTCACAGCGGTGGTGAATAGGTGTTTGTGGTCATGTTGTCCTGACATTTTAATCAAATAGAAAGGGAGGTTGTGCATTATTTTTTTTTGGTCTGTCATGTTGTACAGACACGGGGAGCAGGGCTGCGATGGCTTACATCCTCCGCTCTTCAGCTGACCGTCGGGCGGGGATAGAGGGCCAGGCATCCCGGAGCTGCCCAAATGTTTGGCGATGTGTTGCCATGTATTAAAGAGATGCGTGTTTGGAATGGGTTGTTTTGAAAGTGGAAGTCTTAAATTTTTAGCAATAGCCTGTGTTTCTGCTTCTGATTTCAGAAAGGAGAGACTGTGAAGAAGATGCGTGAGGAGGTGAGCAACCCTGCTCTGTAGGAGGATTTGTAGGAGGAAGAGAGAGGAGTGGGAAGGGCTGCCGGGCTGTCCTGCCCTGTGTGATATGTGCAGTAACTCCGAGGGTCAGGACATGCAAGCTGGCTGTGCCCAAAGCTCCTTGGTCCAGTTTTTTCACCCTGTGCTCAGACAAACTCCTATCCCATTTAAAGGGAGTCTTCCAGAGCCAAGAATTTGCTCTTAATGAAACATTACAATTAAGTCACTCCTAAGATGCTTGAATTTTTCCAAGATCTATGTGCCTGCAGCTCCCAAAGAGTTATCAGATCAGTAAGCAACATTCTTGACAAGCAATGACCCCATGAGCCGATCTTGCCTCGATCGTGGGGGTTTGCATTGCAGTAAAAGACCCAAAGCGGGTGCTTGGAAACCCTTTCTGAGGGTTGGGGTAAGGCAGCACTGGAAGCACCTCAGGGGGCAGGGATGAGAGTTTTTAAGGTTAGATGGGATGTCGAGAGGTTGGCACAGAGGATGACGAGGGACCAGGCTGGGACAGGAGCTGACCTAGAGGAAGGGCTGTGCCTCCAGCACATCTCCATGGATTGCTTGGCTGTGGCTATTCCAGGGCTGCCCTTTTCTTTCCAGAGTGGGGCAAGAATCAACATCTCGGAGGGAAACTGCCCTGAGCGAATTGTGACCATCACTGGCCCCACCGATGCCATCTTCAAGGCTTTCGCCATGATCGCCTACAAATTTGAGGAGGTGAGCGATGTCATCCATTTCCCCTACATCTGCATCCAGACCCTTGGGTGGCCCTGGGTACCTCCAACCCATGTGTGCCTGGCTGGACTTGCTTAACCGGTACATGACCTCAGCACAAAACCTTCCAGACATCTGTAACTAGGCAAGAACTGAGCTTTGTGAACTGTCCCGGAGGTCTCGCAGTTAATTAACTGCAGGGATGCTCAGTGATGCAGCTGCAGACAGAGACCAGCCACAGGCTGGGGGGATGTGACCTCTCTTTTCTGGCCCAGGGTTGGCTGGATGGGAGGTGACATGTCAGGTACCAAGGGCTGATGAGTTGCATTCTTCCTTCCCAAGGACATAAACAACTCGATGAGCAACAGCACTGCTACCAGCAAACCTCCGGTGACGCTGAGGCTGGTCGTGCCAGCTAGTCAATGTGGCTCGCTGATCGGCAAAGGAGGCTCCAAGATCAAGGAAATCAGGGAGGTAAGGCAGGCTTGATTTCGTTATCGCATGGCATCGCAGCTCCAAGGAGCCAATCTGTGACCAAGGGGGAGCTGCCTTGGAAAGGGGCATCCCTATGATACAAGCCTCATGGATCACGTTGCTTCCCACGACGGTCCTGCTGATGTAGGAGCAGCATCCCGAGGGACCTTGCCAGGATGCTCCCATGGATGCTCATGCAGGGTGGTGCGGCTCTGGGGAGGGCACGTGGCGTGGGAGCTGGAGCTGGCTGCGAAGAAAGGCGTTCAGCTGCGGGATTTCTTCTCCTCCTCCTCTCTTTCTGTCTCCAGTCCACAGGTGCTCAGGTGCAAGTGGCGGGGGACATGCTGCCCAACTCCACAGAGAGGGCGGTGACGATCTCGGGGACACCCGACGCCATTATCCAGTGTGTCAAACAGATCTGTGTGGTGATGCTGGAGGTACAGTCTGTAACAAAGGGGGTAAAGTACCTAGGGAAAAAACAAAACAAAACAAAACAGAAAAAAAACAACCCAGCTGGCACCACAACAGCACTGGGAGCTGTGAAGTGTGTCTCTTGTACCCTTCACCAGGCGTTGTTGGACTACTCGAATTTCCTGGTACCTCTGTTTGAAACCCACCCACTGTGTTTTCCTCACCATCGTCCATTGTTTCTGCAGTCCGACACTGGAAACTTACTGGGTCCAGTGCCCCAAAGGAGATGGTTTGTGTCATAGCACAGGGTGGCTTCGGGAGAGGGATGCTGGGACAGCTGTCACCAGGTGTCCCTGCAGCGCCATGGGAAGGGGATGGGCCCTGTGGCCACTCCAGCAAATGCCTGGCATGCTCTGCACGGGGACTGAGGCTGGGGGGAGAAGGCCAGGGCATCCCCCACGCTGGGGGAGCCGGGGCTGGGGGTGCAAAGCCACGCTCCGCTGAGGCGCAGGAGGAAAGGTGGCAAGGAAGGCTGGTGGAGAGCAGGGCCTGTAGGGTGCATGGACATGTGGCCACGGTGCCATTTTCTGGGAGAAATGCTGATGAGCAGAGCTTGAGGATCTCTGCAGTGGAGAGATGCTGCTGTACCAATGGCTTATTGCCAGGGATGGTAACAGCCACATGTCCCACGTCCGCACCTGCCACCTCAGATGGGAGAAGCGTCAGGAGGAAACCCCTGGGGACACAGGACGGTGACACCCTCTGCTCCTGGTGCCTCCCAGAGGCAGACAAGCACAGACTGATGTCTGACCCCTCTGCACAGCCCGCACGCTGCTGCCCTTTCACGGCAGGGAGGAATACAGTGGCCACTGCAAGAGCTTCAGAGGAGGACAGCAAGGCTTGGTTTGAAGCAAAACCAAATGTGAGCAACTTCAGTTTGGCAGCAGGAGAAATCACCAGGAGCCACGTTACCCACCGCTGCTGGTAGCGATGTTCAGGCGGGTATGCTGTGCTGCCAGGGGAGCATGGTTTTATCTGCGCGGTGACTCCAGGTGATGCTCTGGACCATGGTGGAGATGGGCCCGAGGTGATGCTTGCGGGTGTTTCATAAAGTCTTTCATGGCTGCTGTTCCCACCAAACAAAGCAAGGGGTGCTGCTCCCGTTGCTCAGCAATGGGAAGGAGAAAAACCCATGAGTTTTCTTGCAGTCTGAAATCTGGGAAGTCCAGATTTCAAAATGATCTTTTATCTTATTCAAATTATCTTACCACAGAAATCCTCACTCATCCCCTCCGAGATTTGTAACGCAATAAAAGAAAGGAGGTGGTTTGTGATTACAGAGGCTGTGCTTTGATTGTACCGCTTTCCTGCAAACCTGTGCTTAGCAGGAAGATTTGGATGTGCCACCTGGCTACAAGTAGATGTCTAGAAGAATGTACAGAAAAAATGAAGAATTTTCCGTGAGATAGCATAATTTATATTACGTGTCCTTACACAGCAATAACTGGGCCATTTCACTTTGTGTAGAACCAGGAGGCTTTTATCTGAAATCTCTCCTGCTTCATAGGAACCTCCAAAAATCTCTTCTATAGCCTGTTGGTTACATTCAAGAGAAAACCAAAAAGAGAGAGAACTTGGGTGAGATGATCCCGTGCATCGTGCAAAGGGATGCATCGTGACACCTTGATGTGCATCACAACAGCTTGATGTGCATCATGACAGCTTCTGCTCGGACCTACCCACAGCAGTGAGGAGCGAGATGTCCTGGTTGACCGGAGCAAGGCTGCCCCTGGGCACACTGCTGCAGGATGAGGGCTGGTCGGTCTGGCTGGCTGCTCACATGGACCACTACCACCGTGCAGGTGTAGGAGAAGATCTCTGGAAATGCTGGTGTTGCCATCTGAGAAGGCTTTCCAGCCTCTGGCTCCTCCAGAGCTCAGCATCCTGGTCAAAGCCATCAGCTGTTGTTTGTCCCACCAGGGCATGGGAGGTCTTGACCACGCAGACAGTGCCTTGCAGCATCTGCTGTACAGCCGTCCGCCTCCCAGCTTGGATGATGATTGACCAGTCCATGTCCTGACGGTGACCCTGTTCTGGTGCTGAGGAAAATGAGAGAAGCCAAAGAGCTTGAGCATTGCATGGGTTTGCCCAGATGGGCTTCTCACCCCTTCTGACCTCTCATGATGCCACACCACAGCTCCTGGTGCTCGGCAGGGCTGGTACAGCTCCATGGTGGGCTGTCGACGTTGGCGCTGCAGTGACATGCCATGTTCCTCCCCATCTTGCTGCTTAAGGGTCTCCTTGGGGTATTTTGAGGAGGGCACTGCGTTCCGACGTCAGGCTCGTGTCTAGACCAGGAGATGCAATTTGCAGAGAGCAAAGTGAAGGTGAGGGAAGCAGTGGAGGTCGAGGAAACAATTTTGGGATCTCCCATACCCCAGGTTGTCCTCATTATCCATTAAACACTGATTTTCCCTCATGTCCTCCTGTCCAGAACCGTGGTTTGCCTGGTGCGGGTAGTGCTGGCGGCGGCCCCGGGGGCCGTATTCCGTCGGGTGCTTTCTAACACTCTATTTTGCCACCGTTTTCAGGAAAGCTGTTCTAATGTTCTCTTCTCCCTCTCCTTATCCCTTTTCCTAGTCCCCACCAAAAGGTGCCACCATTCCCTACCGCCCAAAGCCCGCCTCCACCCCTGTCATTTTTGCAGGTGGTCAGGTAAGAGCCGACCCGCTTGCAGCCTCCACTGCCAACCTCAGCCTTTTACTGCAGCACCAGCCGCTGCCCGTTAGTGCACTCAGGTTTCTTGCCTTCTGACTTGCATGGTGTCATCCCATCCCAGTTTTTGCGTGCCACGTGCAGGTGGACTGAAAGCTCTTTGCAGAACCGCTGGTGGTTTGAAAGCCCCGGGGTAGATGGCTTAGCTCCTGGGAAGGTTGTGGGGAGGATGACCCAGGGAAATAGGGTGGCACCAAGGAAGGGATGGAGTTTGTTTGCTTCGTTAGACCCAAAGTCAACATTTGCCAACAATTTCCAGGGTGAAGGACAAAGTGAGAAAAGCCTCATTGAACAAGAGGCTGCGACAGTGCTCTCACAGCGGCTGCAAGTGTTTGTCTTCTGGAGTGGGGGGATAGGATGAGGGGTAACAGCTTTAAGCTGAAAGAGGGTAGATTTAGATGAGATATTAGGAAGAAATGTTTTCCTGTGCGGGTGGTGAGGCAGTGGCCCAGGTTGCCCAGAGAAGCTGTGGATGCCCCATCCCTGGAGGGGTTCAAGGCCAGGCTGGATGAGGCTTTGAGCAACCTGGGCTGGTGGGAGGTGTCCCTGCCCATGGCAGGGGTTGGAACTGGATGGGCTTTAAGGTCCCTTCCAACCCAAACCATTCTGTGTTTCTATGATTCTGTGATCTCTAGTCCAATTAAAAATAACTTTGCACAGTTGTCATTGTTGTGAGATGGGAAGGGCTCATCCCAACCTCATCCAGGACCATGCTGAGCCTCTGTTGAGGACAACGTCCATGAAAGGGTCATCCTCATCACCGGTGCTTGGATGGTTTGGGGTGCTTCTTTTCCCCCCCATAGTGCCATAACCTCTGCTGCAAAGCTGGGTCTCAGCTCTGCTTGCAGGGAAGCTTGTGTTGCATTGTCTCCAGCGCCAGCACGCAGTGCTCAGGCTGTGGGCTTGCAGTCAGTGCAGTATTTCTAGCTGCTCCTGGGAAGCGATGGCAGATTTTTTTCTTTGCAGGATAACCATTGCACGCATATGCCGTGGGGGATGCATTAAAAAGGGAACTTGAACCATTGCTTTTTCCACCTCCTCTTTTCACATCACCTGGTGACCGAGGACCTCTCTGTAGATGCCACCATGCCGTGGTGCACCAGAATTTAGCAGGAGAGGTACTTTCCCAGCAGCCAAGTAGAGCTAGCTACAGCTAATGCCATCCAGAGCAGCTCCAGACGAGTCATTTTTTTGTCTCCCCAACCATAATAAATAGCAGAAGGACAAACTAAGGATGGGAGCAAAGCCTGAAGCACAGGCTATTTCAGGCAGCGTGCTGAATTCGCATCTCTTAGTCATTGCCAGCGTCAGGAGGAGCGTGTCAGTTGGTCAGAGCAGCCGTCCTGGAAAAGAGCTTTGAGCCCAGCTGCTCGGTGGACTTTTCAAAAAGGGAGAGTAAAATGGAGGCAGCGTTTCTCCTGCTGGCAGAAGGGTCCGTGTCTTGCACAGAAGTAACGTCATGGGAAGAAGTGACCATCTCTGAAATGGCCCCTTGGTGGTACGGAGTGGGTGGGCAGAGGACAGGAGGTGACAGTCGGTGATGCTGCAAGGTCCTTGGGGTGGGTTGAACGTGCTCAGGCTGGGGGACCCAGTGGCCGATGGCACCTGCCCCGTGGTCCATGTGCAATGCAAGCTGGGGGTCACACAGTCGTGTGCTGGCAGAGTTGGGTTGCATCTGTCCAAGACACCTTCCTGCCTTTAAGTAGCTTTTTTCTAATCAATTGTTCTAATTTAAAAAAAAAAAGAAAAAGAAAAAAAGAAAAAAAAGAAAAAAAACAAAGATCAAATTAAACCACCAGCAAGGATGGAACTTTTTAGAGCAGCTTCTGCCACGTCCCCACAGGGGAAACCAGTGCGTTTCTGTGCACAGGGCTTTGCCTCCTCCCTCCTCCAGGATTTTGGGAATTTCCCTCGCACAAAGCGCTTTGCTGTTTGCAAACAATGCGGCAAATTTGCAG